GCTGAAAACCGATAAAAACCCTGAAAACCATACATTTCACACCTGAGCCTCAACTCTCGCGGCCCGGTACCAAACGACTCACGGACCGGTACCGGGGGGACCGCTGTACATGGGTGACATTGTGGTCGGAGAGCAAATAAAATAGTTTTATAGGATTTGTTGTGCCTCCTGGAACTCTTGGGGCCCTAATTTGATTAAGGTTAATGCTTGATAAGCCCAACTGATGTCCTCACCAGTTTTGGTACACAGAGGAAAAAGAAATTATATCATACCTTGTAAAATATGGAAAATCATTCTGAAGACAAAGCAGCTGCCACTCCTAACGGGATTTTATGAATAATTATTTTTGGTTGTTGAGAATAGAGGACATGAGTGCCAAAAATAATGAGATAAATAGTTGATTAAATAATTATTGACATTTGTCATTAATTATTTGAAATTAAAAATAATAAACTTATTACAAAATAATCATTCAAAATAAAGTTTCATTTAAAACATGTAATAAAAAACAATTAATGCATTTCCAATTTGAACCCATTGTTGACATAATTAATGATGTATTTATTCGATTCATTTTGGCACCCTCCATTCTGCAGTACCTTTAAATAACAGAGGTGTTAGTGTTTGTCTCACACAGATTTCAAGTTCTTTCATGCATAATTCATCACTGCCTCCCTGATAAGTATCCCGACCTGTGAGATGACACGTTTTGATGTGTACATTTGGAAAGGCAGCCTGCTGATTGCAAAATGCTGTTTTACATCCACCGTCTGCTGCCACTCGAAACCATGTCTGCTCCTGCGCATCACAATCATCATATCCTTTTCACATGTAAAGATCAAAGCCAGATTCCACTTCTTTATTCTGATTTCTCCCCTTCCATTAATTTAGTAGTACTGTTATGTTCGGGAGATCATTGTGTTTGGTTAATGTGATACTTGTTAGCATTGAATACATTAGCATAATCTGTGCTTACTCTTCTTCTTACAGGCTTATTTTTACTATCTTGCAAGCAGTGAGCCAAAGGGTTTAATCTAAATGTACAATAGTTCTTTTATTATCTCAAACAGCATGCTTAGCAGGCTATCTCTTTTAAACTGCAGAGCACATCTATAGGAGTTTTAGAAATAAATTAATATATGTTAGGGTTTCATTCATCAATCAGTGTGAGTAGGCTCACATAAAATGCCATGCTACTTCAGTTGATGAGCCCTCTCACCACACCAAGGGGCAGTAAGGCTCTTAAGTTTCCTTTTCTCTCAAAGCATTCATTCGTTTTTGGCTACCAGTGCGCTTTCCTCTCTTTGGCAACAATCTCCAGGAAATGGGAGTGATTCGCATAAAGGGGGAAAGATGAGTCAAGGTCAACCCACTGGACTTGTCCGGCGTCATCACCAGCTTCCAGTGGCAGCTCGCTCACGCTGTTACCTGACGTAAAAACAAAGAGATTTCACTTTTTCCCTGCAAAACACCTCGCAAACGTATTGAGAACACAGACTGTAATTAAAAGCTGGATGTAACCAGTGGTTACAAAAAAAAAAAGGAATGCACTTACACATTACTCGTTACATTTCTTCAAAATACTGCAGTGCATTACTTAATTAATGAAGAAAGTAATTTGTTACTCTACTTGTTACATTACTATCGCGTTACTCTGTAAAATGACCTGAAACACATCACCACATTATTACCAGCTAACAATATAAACCTTAGCCTAAAGTCAACTACACAAATCCCTATCCTATTCAAGACACATGTATGATCTTTTCTTGTGTTTACATATGAACACAAAGCTGGTAACACACAGCAAAGATGGAAACCACCTCAAGAAGACTTCAGCGAGTCTACTTTACAAACATGTACAGGTAGAAATGGAGGCTACAGTGCTGACTGATCATGAAGTTCAGACTGCTGGGCTGGGGTCAGCATTCACTCAATTTTAACATAACTCTGGCTTTTTCACTAGCTTAGCATTAGCATGATGTATGTGCAGATGCTTGCAACTTTACCAACATCCTCTTGTCCTTTTGGGCAATAAAAATAAAACTAATCTCCATATCTTCACTCCTCAAATAATGTGAGTAATAATAATTGAAAATTAAATATAATTACTGAATTTAATGGAGTAACACGTTCATTAATTGTTGCATTACTGAAAAATCTAATGTCATTGTAGTTCTAAGTAACATATTACACTCAACACTGGGCGCCACCAACTACCAAGTCTTGAATCCAATCTGGAAGTGCTTTAAAACCTCCATTTCTTTTTTTCTAATGTACAGCAGGGGGCGACTCAAAAAGACGTTTTAGGTTGTTTTAGGTCTTTGCGCCACATTGTGACTGACAGGTTGCTACTTTTTGAATATGCAGTGTCTGAAGGTCAGGGTTCATCACATCTCGTTCCAGAAAACCAAGACAGTGACCGCCAAAATCTTGAGGATGAATCTTCAAAACACGACTTAATGAACCAACATGTGACATTAAAAATGGCCACATTCATCTTTTATATACAGTATTACGGTCCAGTGTTTTATATTCATATACATTCATCAACTTTTTGTAACGCCAGAAAAATGCTGACAAGCAGAGGTGAAAGAAAAAAGAAGGAATAGCATTCCTCATAATTAATGATACCTAAGTCATCGTGAAAGTTGACAGCAACCGTCTCCATCCAGGAATTGTCAGTGTTTCTGGGATCATCGACATAGCCCTTGTAGACCTGAAGGAGAAAGATCACAAGCTGTCGGCCCTCAGAGAAAAAGCCTGATAGTTTACCTGACAGACCCACCTGGTGATAAAAATATGGCAGCAAACACATAAGCCACTTTACGAACCATAAATCCTGACGATTTGAAGAGATTGGTGATGCGCTGATGGATTTCCGCTCTCTCTGCTGGGGAACTAGAGAGCGAGTTCAATGCTTCTTCTGAGAACTCCCGCTGCAGTGTGAGAGAAACCTGCTCGCCTGGATCTACCATGCCCTGCAAAAACAACAACAGGACTATAACTATAACCAAACCCCTCACTTCCACGATAATGAAATCTTGTTTTTGCTGCCCTACAGCATTTTTGCAGACACCATATGGCAAGCAAGAATGGCGGGACGCCCCTGTATAGACAGAAGAAACATAAAAAACACTTACCCCAGGAATGGCCCATTCCCCACAGTCCTTCCTCTTGATAGACACAAACTGCAGAACAGGCTTTTGGGAGACTGAGTGATGAACCTTTGCCCCTTTGACATCTACCTTCCATCTGTCAGATGGTGAAATGTACATAAATTCAGCCGGTTTTCTTTGAATTCATCAACTTTTAGCTATGATATGAAACTGTTTCAGTTTGAAGTCAGCTTTCAGATGGATATCAAATTACTTGGCACTAATGTGCACTGAGATTTCCACTTTTAAATTATTCATGCGCGCTATGTGAGTGTGGATAATTGAACTGTGTAAAGCAAAAGAATAGGTACCTGGTGACTATTGGATCTGCTGCATGGTTGGGTCCCCATCGTCCTAGCAACCCTCTGCCTGCCAACCCTGTGCGTCCACAAGGATTTCTATGGGAGTAAAATTATTTATATGGAGTTTTGAGACTTGTAAGCAATGCCTTTAACAATAACAGCTAATGAAACATCTCTGCAGTGTGAAAGGTTTGCTAACACTGCAGTTACCAGAGCAAATTCTACTAAACTGGATGTTTTATTAAATATCGGAAAAACCATCTTAGAGGTATAACTTACAGCGGTTTTCCATTTTCCACTTTGTAGCTTCCCTCAAAGCTCGTCCTGTCCACAGCACCATCCACAGTGTTAAAATTTGGAGAGGATGAGCTACAAAACAAGTGTAGGAAAAAAAAATCTATAATGCTTCATAGATCAGATTACATTACTCGCATGGCGCTACCAGAATGTACTTGATAAGCATTAAAGGTGCTATTTGTTGTTCACCCAATATCAGGATCCGCCCAGGCTGGGTTATTTAAAACTGAAGGGGCCGTGTAGCTGACTGGATTATACTCAGGCCACTTCTGAGTCCAGTCCACCTTGTCATCAGGCACAGACAAGCGCTTGATATTGGACCCTGGATACTGTGGGCATCTGGACTTTACATGAGGCCCTGCTGAAGATGGCATGGTCGAGTGCCCGCGGCAGTAACTAGTGTTGACAGCGCTGATGGTTTTACTGGTTGGGAAGGGGTAAGAAGAAGGGCAGGAAATAGCAGGCCTAAAGGAGAGAGAAGATAATGTAAGTACTCCACATGCACTCCTTTCTCTCCACATTATGAAAATGCTACCGCCCCTCAATGATGACAAGAAATATCTTCTGTTACACGCACATAGATTAAAGGAGTAGGCCGTGCAATCAGTGCAGGGCAGCGGGATTACAGCTGCTGTTACACAGCTGCTTCTGCAGTGTTGAAATCTGTACAGTGATCATTCTGTATAGCTGATCTTCAGTGGTCATGTCTATAATCTCGTGCATATTAACATCTATTTTGATATCCATTGTAAATAAATCGGATTGTGCATATAACCCAAGCCACTGTACAGTACTAAAATTACCTGGTGAGTACTATTCAGTCTACCCTGAAACTGTAGAAATAACGACTTTCTATTTCACTATGCTTATTAGCTTGATAGCTTCAAGGTAAAGGTTTATAAGTAATGTTCCCGTCCATACCTTACTCCGGAGGTCCAGACGGTATGCGGGAGTCCGAGAAGAGTGAACGCTAAACGAATCGGTCCGACCAAGTGTCGCCGCAGGGGTAAATGTATCATTCCTCTAATCAATCAGTAGCCTAGAAAGTACAACACAACGGAAACCAGGAAGTGCACCGCCCTGCAAGGTGACGTCCGCAAAGGGGTGCGCCTACGACGGTGGCGCTCGTTTCCATAGTGATCGGCCGTTTAAAGTTGATTAAAAAAAAAAAAGATGACCGACAGGTAAATTAATGTCCTGTATTTGACATTTGCAGCTTAGTGCAACATAAAAAAAAATGAAAATAGTGTTGTTGTTTTTTAATGTTTTGATCGATATCTGCATAATGTGCGAATGTGCGTAAGCTTTTAGAAAACATTTCCGTGTAAGTGCCGGTAAATTGTTAAAAACGCTGAAAGAGAAAAATTAGAGAAGGGAGTCAGTTTGACCATTCAACACCCTGACGACCTTCTCTGGGTGAGCACTTGGTGACAGTGAGTAGGGAAAATTCGCTTTCAACAGAAAGAAACCTCCTGTAGAGTCAGGCTCGGGGAGGACCAGTCTACTGTATATGATCGGCCGGGTGGTGAAGGGAAAGAGAAGAGAGCCGACACAGCCAAGGTTGAATAATTACTGATGAGTAAATTCAACAGCACAATGCAGCTTAGCGTAACTAAGGGGTCGTTCAGGGTCACGTGATCCAGATCCAGCTTTAACAAAAAGGAAGGCTTTTCGGTCTAATTTTGGAAGTAGATATGGTGTCTGTCTCCCAAATCCAAACTGGGTCCTGGTTCCACAGAAGAGAGAATCCTGAGGCTCTGCCTGCTATTCTACTTGTAAATACTCTTGGAACCACAATTAAGCCTAGAGTCTGCGAGCAAAGTGCTCTGTTATGATAATGTGGTCCTATGCACGATATGATGGCGCCTGACTATATAAGTGGTTGTATGTGAGTAGAAGGGTTTTAAATTCAATTCTAGATTTAACCGGGAGCCAATGAAGAGCAGCAACTCTATGGGAGAAATATGATCTCTTTTCCCCATCTCAGTTAGCACTCTCACTGCAGCAACAGTACTTGAAAGAGACATATGTTTATGATAGATAGATAGATAGATAGATAGATAGATAGATAGATAGATAGATAGATAGATAGATAGATAGAATCTTTTATGCTGTATTTTTTGTTATTATTATTATTATTATTATTATTATTATTATTATTATTATTATGGTGTATTTGGAAGAAGAAACATCCTGACACTAACACTTGTATATGTTTAAATGTTTAATATTTACCAACAGTAGTTGCCAGCTATATACTGGTAGTATTATTGCTGTTGTAATGTATAAATAATAATGTGATGCCTTATGTAATAAACCTGACATACAATAAAGTCTGTGTACATGTAAACAAAAAAGCCTCTCCTGTGACATTATCCTGCCACGGCGTGTTCAAACCACCATTTAAAACTATTTTTTATTGTTCTAAAATATTTAATATACAAAAACAAACAAGCCAAAGTTCAAATTCATCAGAAACTATTTAATTTTTTTTCCATAATAGCCAGCATGCAACATATTTCGGCACGCCCACTCGCGGCTGCTGCAAGTTTAATTCTTGTATGGCCGCTTGTTTTGCCTCACTACAGCAGCGGAGTAGGCGGTGCCTGTCGTTTGAAGCCAAATGACACGCTGCCGCTCAACGGAACCATCCTTTTAGTTAAATCTATCGCAACTCTTGCACGCGCATTTACGCTGACTGCTGAGACCAAATCCCCGCTCGCGCACGAAATCCATTTACGCTCTAGTAGTAGAGAGGGCCCAGTTGCTGCGCCCCGTCAGTCACACAGTCCGCACGATTAAAGCCTCAGACGGCCGTTAAAGAGCAGCTGAAAGCGGCGGCGGGGCCTAGTGACACTCCCTGACAGTCTCGGAGCGGTTTGGAGAGGAAGAATGGCGGATACGAGCAGCACTGCGGCGGTCGCGGCCGAAGCCTCCGACAGCGCTGCTGTCGCTGCTGCTGCTGCGCCTGTTGCGTCCGATGCACCGCCCGTAGCTCCGGTGCCCAGGACTCCAGCCGAGTCCGTGAAAGGACAGATTTTTGACGTGGGCCCCCGCTATACGAACCTGTCGTATATCGGGGAGGGTGCTTACGGAATGGTGTGGTGAGTAGTAGCGCTTGTCATCTCTTGTCGGGCTACCGTAGCGCGAAGCGAACGCGCTAGCTAACATAATGTGTTTATTAGCAAACACTGTGAGCCAGCTCGCTTTAGCGGCTGTATTCTACAAGCGGGGTCGAGTTAATGTGTGTTCAGTCATGATGATTGGCACTTAAGACACTGTTGAACCTCTTGAGCAGCCTAGCTTTACGGTGACTCGGGTTAGCCGAACAGCCACAGGCGTGGCTTTGAGCTTTACAGGAAACAAGGTTTGGGGAGTGTTTGCGCAGGACGTAGTTTGCTACTGCAATCAGATCTTCTTCTGCAGGCGGCGTTTGACCGCAGAGGAAAGTTGGTTATCGCTGTAGCCACGTCCGGAACCAGCCTCCAAATCGCTCCGATCTCTGTTTTAATTCTGACAGAGCTGCTGCGGAGGATGCGAGTGACATTTGTGAGCCTTGCCGAGGCCTTTCCCTCGTGTTATCGACGTATGAGAGCTGCACCTTTTCGTGTGGACGTGTCCAACCATGTTAGATGCGTTTGATTATCAGTGTCATGTCGCTGCGTTCACAGCTCGGCCTCATGAACAATCAGATGGCACAGCAGCGAGATGGATGTTGGGCCCACACATCCCACCTCAGCAGGGCGCACACACCGTGCGGCTCTCTGCCAGCTCTGATAGCATAGTGCTATATTGTTTGTGCCATCGTGGTCACGTGACTTTGCTGCTGCTGCTTTCCCTGTTTGTAAACATTGACAGCAATAACTGTTTGGCACACTGACAGCGATCCAAGTGGTCTTGGAGTGTCTGTTAAGCATGCGAAAGCTCCAAAACATACATACATCCTCACAATATTTCAGTGTGTTGTGCAACCCGAGAATGATCTTTCACTTAGTGTTCCTGATAAAGATGAGTGTCCTCTTTTATTGCAAAACTCACCACAAGAAAGAAACCATCCTCACCTTTTTTTCCAGCCCTGCCTGCTCCTCATGCATCCTACATCTCCATCGTGCTGACACTGCGCCCACACTCCGGCCTACAGCTACAGTGCTTCTCAACATATTACAGCCAAAAAAAAAAGCCCCATTACTTGTTGTTAGTAGTGACAGTTTGAAGCACCCTTATGGAGCTCAGTGTCCGCCCAGTTTGTGATACCGTATCTATGCAGTGTGTAATCTGACCCCTGTCCTGTGCCTCTTTCCAGCTCTGCTCTGGACAACTTGACAAACCAGCGCGTAGCCATCAAGAAAATCAGCCCATTCGAGCACCAGACGTACTGCCAGCGCACGCTGAGGGAAATCAAGATCCTGCTGCGTTTCCACCATGAGAACATCATCGGCATCAACGACATCATCAGGGCACAACAGCTCGACAACATGAGGGATGTGTATCCTGCTTTTTCCATACGTGTTAATTTATGGTTAAAAAAAAATCAAGCAGGCAGTCACGCTGAGATTGAGATGTTACTAAAGGAGAGACAAGAACATGGTTACATTAAAACTGTCTCAAGAGTCCATAAACTCTAAACGGAGTTTAAGACCTGAAGCAAGTTCTGCGAGGTTGTTGTTGTTTCAGGGAATATGTGAGATCAAATTTTTACTGTGAAGGAAGTGAGCCATCTTTAAGATGCTGAGAACAATGACTAATATGAAATTTGCGAGTTTATTATGCAAACGCACTGTAGCACACTATTCTTTACTGGATTTAGCCAATGAAGAAGTTATGCAGCATCATGATGGTACAGATGCTGAAGTCAACTGCAGGTTTGTGTGTTTAAAAAGACAAAGTAGGGCTGTTTGATTACAGATGTTTTTGGGGGGTGGGGTTAAAGTACAGGTTTAGCCCTCACCTGTAACATTTGTGACTCTCGCAGAACTTCAACCACCTCTGGTTTTTCTCTCTAAGCTTGTGGCTCGGATGAGTCAGCTGTGACTGCACAGTTTTTAAAATTGTGTGGCTTGTGGTGAATTTAGACCAGACGAGCAAACACGAATTATTAATCCAGCTTTTACTTGCTCTGTGTGTGCATAGAGTTAAAGTCAGTAGGATGGGTTAAGAAAGGAAACCTGGAAACATTAATCCCGTGGCTGGTAGAGATCAATCAAATCTATAATATCAGATTTGCTTCACAGAGCGAAACATTTTCATCAAATGGCCTCGAGAGTCAGTCATTTGACCACTTTACTCAAACGGCTTGAGCTGCTGAATCATTGCTAAGATCTCTGTTATTCAGCCACATTGGGCAGTAGCGAACATCCTCGGAACTCGGCACTGACTGAGAACAGTTGCATTGTCTTCTGAAAAACAGAAAGGAAATGCATGAGTCGCATTTTTTGTGTATCCTGTTGTTTTATCTGCTTGGTTTGCTTTACTTAGTCACGTAGTGTTTATATGAACTCGTGAAAACTTGACTATAATCAAGTCTGTCCGCTGATGGCATCATCATTTAGTTACTACTTTCTGTGTGCAGCTCAGCTGGTTAGTGCCCTGTGCACTGGGGGCCTCTTAACCCTTTAACAAGTGTCATTCAGCCTAAGTGGACTTATTTTGGACTCAGGAACCATTTAAATGTTCTCTAAAATGGTTGTGTAGTCACAGTAATGTTAAGCACTTATCGTAAAAATCTAGTTTGAACTATTTTTCTGTCTGTGTTCAGATAGCAAATGATTTGTGTCACAATGATGCAGCGAACATTGCCCTAAAACTCGTCTTCTCTTCTTTCCAAAACAATTTTGTCTTTATCACAAACTGTAACAGAGTTGTGATCATTTAGGAGCGTTTTTTAAATCAACCAGGACTGTGCGCATATCTACCTGTCAGACTTTCCTCTATAAACCTACTGGCTGTATATAAAAGAATGGCACCATGACTTCCATCTGTTGTTCACATGTGGCCATAAAGTCTCGAGTTGATCCTTTGTTGGTAAGGAGAAACCAAGGGATGCTAACAACCTGCCAGCCACAGTGTAGCCCTGCCTTAAAGCACATCCCTGCTTTTGGGAACTATAATTTATAAAATGAGCATCACAT